ATCACAGAAAAATAGTTAATTACCTCTCGGGCAGGTAACCTGCCTGAGTTCTCAACCCCTTTTTAATGCTTTTTCCTATTTCCTATTTTCCTATTTCCTATTTCTGTTTCCGCCTATTTTCTTTTTCCTATTTTCTATTCCCTATTTCCTATTTCCTATTCCGGTGAAGCCTAAGTATAAGGATAGAGATTGTCATAAGCCAACAAAACTGAACATTGATGGTTCAATACAAGTCAGGGTAGGAATGAGACATGCTAGTGAACTCATTTAATGTGCAGCATATAGACAATCGCGAGCCAAACCAACAGCGAGAGTAGATAGCAAGACCAGATGAACCAGGTAGCAGTTTTAGCAAGGAATTGGGACGTAGTTACAATAAGGGAATTGCAGCTGGTAAATTAGAGTCTTTATGCGAGGAGACGTGTTGTCAGGTAGCCCACAAACACATGATCGTACGTGTCCGGCCGATGCCTCTATCCGAGCCGGAACCGTCCGGACTCAGCTAATATTAACACAGCTGTATGCAGAATTATAATGAAGGAGATCCTGTACACTAACTCTTCCATCGACTGACAACAATCCTCTAGAACAAGCGCGCCTTCAAGACGAACCCCTTCTACACACCGCCATTACAGATGAGCTTCATCGGCATCCCTTGAGTAGATCCAGAGCCCCTTCAATGAGAATCAAGCTCCCATCATACCAACAAGACCACGTGACCAAGTCTCTCGTAACAGATCCACGAATCCTCCTTCTAACGTGCTCTCTTCATCAGGACACACGCCCGAGAGGTATCCAACGGAGACTCCATGCTGACTTAAAATGGACTTCTCTGTGTTTGATGTTCTAAAGAGCAACACGATGGCAATCCCATCGCTTTACCCTCGGACTTTTACAACTCTAAATCTTTTGACTTCCACGTGGAAGCAAAAATGGTACTGAAAAGGTATCTTTGGCTTCAGCCCCAAAGCATCGATATCTTTACAATCGCTGACCCCTGACATCCAATCTGGACACCAAGATGATGGGTATGAAACGCCTCGTCCTCACGCTGTTGCTTTCCAGCTGGCTTCATCAAGGAGGCTATGGCTTTCAACCTCTCCATCCACAGCGACAAAGCCGTAATCTGCAAGTTGCTTTGGCGGCTCTTCGCGTCCCTCAAAATCCTCTCACCTCCTCGAATAATAAGCAAGGCAATCCACCCGAGAATCTCCTGGTCGAGGACAGAAGTGACAATGAGGAAGCGCCATCCTTGAATACGGCGCCGGATAGCCTCACTCCTACTAGCAGTAATAGTACTGGGAACTCCCACTCCAGCATGGGCCACGGCAGGTCCTGTCCCCAGCGCCATTTTGGCGAGCTGCACTTTCGGCATTGTGGCGTCGCGGAGGTTTGATCACGGAACGATCGATTAAAAAGAACATGAGTCAAGAGGATGAAATCAAAATCAACAATGCCGATGGCATTTACGGGCTTTCGGCATTTTCCTTGCTTATTTCAGGGACTTCGGTGACGAATTTCCAAGGGATGGGACTTTTATCAACACGAACCCATTTCTGGTTGAAAATGAGTAGTGTGGCCCGCTTGGGAGACCTCGTTTTCCCGGCCATTGTCTTTTTCAAAAGAGATCAGGCGCGCCGACAAGACGTTGGCCGCGTGTCGATGCCTCTCGTGGACGCGCATCACACACTCATCAATGCCGAAATTCTGGCACTCTTGACCATTCCTCTCTTTGCCAGTCTCATGGCGCGAGGGGTCTTGTACATGGACAACTTTCCATGGCCTTTGGGTGTGGCCCTCTACGTTGTTTCGTTGGGTGGGGCTGGCTACAAGTATGGAAAGGAAGCTTTTGAGATGATAGAATCAGAACAAGCTTGGTTCCAATTGGGAAAGAGGAAGAGGCTAGTAGCTAGCTAAAGTAGGGTTCAGTTGATTGAGAGCCGTGGCGATTTGCATGACCTACAGTGTAATAAGCCATGCTGAAACATCATGCTCTCTTAAGATAGCACTAAGCTAGTTAGAAATGCAATCTCTAAAACTCTTTCAAACAGCCAGTTTGTGGCGATGACTTTTGGGCAAAATCTGTCCAATCTCTTTCCACCACAAAACTTCTCAACAACACTTTCATCGTTTCCAGGCGCCGTTGTTGTCTTGTTTCACAGCTCCACGGACTCTGTACGAACCTCTGCTTTGCAGTTTCTTTAACCCCTTCAAAGAGAGGGCCCGACAAAAGCTCCTCGGATTTGACACTCCCCCTATTGGCGCCCGGTGCAAGACGGATTTCCATTCCCAGATGCAACATGCTGCCAAAGGCATTCACATCTAGGTTGAGAGCAAGAAAGAGCGCGGCATAGACTTCATGGATGGATTCGACAGACCATGGAGGCAATGCTCCTTGTGCAACCCTGTACAGTGCAGCTCCAATGATTGCAACACTATGACACTGTACGTCCGTGGTGAATTGGTTTGCCTTTGCAGAATCAATCGGGAATCTCCGAATCAATTCGTGGCATACAGGTTGCAACATGGCTGGTCCCAATGCAAAGTAGCTGCAGAGAAACTCCATCAACGCGAGTGTTTGGGGTCCTTCAAAGCTGAGGCACGGACTCTGGCTTCGTAGATCTCGTGTTTTGCTGAGGAAAGGGCTGAACAGAAGGGAAATCGCGGCAACACAAGAGTCCACCAACAGGTTTCGGAGGGTAGCTTCACTTCCTACCTGCAACGTGGCTGCCTTGTTGGACAACGTCGCCATCACCAAGAACCAAGCTTCAAAAAGTGCAGGACGGGGATCGGCGAAGCATTGCGGGTCTTGACATGGATGAGTTACTGCGCCGAGCACATATGGCTTGACTCTTTCGAGTGTCGTCACGCAGCTTCCAAGAGCTGTTTCATTGTTTGGTTTTTCCTGTAGAGACTCGATCATTTCTTGAATAATGCGAACAAAGAGTCCAGCCGGGATATGCTCAGCAGAAACCACCTCATCATTGAAAATTGAGGATCCTGATGATGGACCTGCTTGGCACTGAACTTGTGCAGCTTCACACTCGGATCGTATGATTGCCTCAACACTCTCAAACAAAGTTTGTGGCATCTTTGCTGATATGCTTGTTTTCAGCAATGCAAAGAAACCCGCTCTCAAACGGTTCCACTTGAGCAAAAGAATTGAATTGACGATTACGATTCAGTGAGGTTTCAAGCGCAAAGGCGAGCACGATCCATGTCTGGATGTACCTACCTCCATGGCAACCATAATAACGGCAGCTGGCTGCGTCCCCTCGTCGTATATTGACGGCCTTTCATACCCGCGGCATATGCACTTTGTGAGTACCCTCAAGCAATCAAGTTTTGTCGTCGCAAGCTCCCCTTCAGAAGCGAATAGAGATTCGACGATGACAGGCGAAAACGCAGCAAGATCCCAGGTGGATTCACAGATTTGAAAAATCACTTTGTCGTCATCCAGGTATGACTGCTCCGAATTGGCGAAACTGGCAATTGATGAGAAGGCATTGTGAAATATCTCGGTCAGCATGGATGAGCAACCTGCTGATCCCTTGGAGACGATTTCCAAGTGACAGATAACACCCAAAAGGATTCTTCTGGACGTTGGAGTGCTCCCTTGGCCATGAACAACCCCCTTGCCGCGTTTCACTTCAATTGACTTTAACTGAGAGTGCAGTTGGCCCAGCTGCGATATGTCAGCACCCGCTGCCTCGATGAGCTTCCCTGCAAGTTGTTCTGACTCGAATGTCAACCTCATGATGGCCAGGCATCCCACGTGATCCTCACCTAGCGGGCGGAAGAGAAGAGGAGGAAGAGGGTCAGCAAAGCGTAACCAAGAAACGCTAGTTGGGGAAAGGGTACACATCAGCAAGCCCTGGCCAAACAGCCGAGTTCACCACTCACCACCCGGCCCTCGTGCTGCCCCACGAATGTCATAAGTTGCATTTCCCAGCTCAGACGAAGTTGCAAGCTCTGGAATCTGCGCCACGGACATGGCGGCGACACTCAGTGAAAGTCTCAAAGCCGCCTTCACCTCCTCTTCAAATCTTGGTATAGTGCACAAGTTGGACATCATGGGCGACAAAGCAGCTATTGCTAGGTTGGCAATTCGGCTGACAGGAAACAGGTCTTCCAGAGACGACGAAGAGAATCCTTCAATCACAATCTGAAGCGACGTGGTCATGATTTGAAGGGCCAGTCTCAGAATTTCCGGAGCGACCGATGGTTGGCCTGTCTTTGCATAGAACTTTGACAGCTGGTTCAGAGATTTTGCCAAAGCCGAGTAGCAATGCACGGCCGTTTCGTGAAATAACTGACTGGCTTTCCGGGAAGCATCGATTGACTCGAAGCAGGCATGCAATAGTCTGGCCAGGACTTTCAAAGTCACCTCCAGCGGAGGCCGTGTCACATCGGCAAAAGCTGTAGAACCACCACGTTCTGACACAGCCACAGTTCGAATGACGTCCCTCACATCGTTGCGCTCAATCTCCAGATCCTCATCGCTAATGGCTCCAAAGTCCTGAAAATAATCCGCCGAATACCCACAAGCAATGGCAAGACTCATGGCGCAACGAACAAAAAGTTCGACCACGGCATCTTGCAACCCAGGGTCCAAAGGCGGGTGGATACCTTCTTCACACTCTAGGGCATGCTGCACTAGTGTTTTATGCAGGGAGAAGATTGGTTCCATTGCAAAAGCCCGAATGACCCGATGGGGGCTCTGACATATCTCTTGAAAGGAGTGTGCAATTGCCACGAAGAGTTCGGTTGATTGTGGAAAAGCCAATGCCGGTGTAGAGCTAGTTCGCAGCAAATGTGCAAGACACGCATTGGCACAAGCTGCCAGGCACCCAATCGGCCCTTCTCCTTCAATTTGGATCTCATCCCCTTGCGCAGAAATAGCCGGCATTCGACTTGCTTCTGCGAGCGCATTTTGAAAGGTTGATTGGAATTGTTCCCACACCATGACAGTAGCTTGACATGCTATATATCCCCGATGGTGAAACTCTGCTCGAGCTTCGTCGAGCATTGTGTCTGTGGTTCGGTTTTCCACCGCTTCTTGTTGCCGTTTCTTGGACTTGCTTGTCTGTCGCTTCTTTCCCGATTGCTGCTGTTGTGCCTGTTGGTCTGGCGCCAAGCCCAGGGATTTCGCCAAGATTTGGTCCGTGGTCAAGCTAGCTGACTCGTAAATGGCACAAAGATACCCAAAGGCCACCGTTCGAATGTCGGGATGAGTGGATGATAGATAGTTTCGTGCCAAAGGAATCGTGTGTTCCAGGAACTCTTGTGGCAGAGGAAGAAACCTGGCCCATCGTTCGCAAATGATCAAAACGGTTCGATGACAAAGGAGCTCCTGATGCTGTTGCATATCTTGTACATGTTGTCGTAATACGTCCCACAGCAGTACAAAACCAGTAGTCTTGAGTTCCTTTCCAGCTTCCTGTAGACATTTGGGATCAATCGACATGCGACCACGAGCTCCTCCACCGGTACTTCCCAGACAGATATCGGGTATGGCCGCCAGACATGCCCTTATGGCCTCACTTGATGCTGGAAGATGTAACGTGTTTTGTTCTGCCGCCGTTTGAAAGACCAGAGACAGTGATTGCGTAATGATTGCGACGAGTGGCTGTGAAGATTGTTGTTGGTGTGGTTGCTGCTGCTGCCCACGAGTAATGGGAGGAAACCGCAGCCGGAGTGCAATGGCAGCCGTGGCAGCGCCAAGAGCATTGAGCAAGGGCCCAGCATTGTGACCCTGATTATTATTGCTGTTGTTGCTGTTGTCAGCAAAGCAATCCAGAGCCGTTGTGTAAACAATGGCAACCAATGTCAGTATCGATAGCTCCCCCTTGACACGATCTTCCTCACAATTTTGCTGTATTTGGTAGCGTGCCACAACGGCCCCCACAAAGGGATGATACTGGTGCAGGATTTGTTGATAGTGCTGTACCACTTGTGGGAGTGGGAGAGGATTTTGCAACTGTTGAAATAGAACAGTACTTATTGCATCACTATCCTGAATTGCAACCTCAATTTCCCAATCAATGGCTTGATCCAATTTGGAACGGATCAGTCGATGTAATAATGTCTGGGCTGCAAAAATTCGTTCCGTGGAAGACGCTGCAAAACCCGTATGGCTTCCTCGCAGAGACAACAGAGCCAGGGAAGCCAACCAGGAACTCCCTGTCCGTATCTTTTCTCCATTGACCACATTGCTGTTGTTTGAGGCTGCTGTCGAGTTGGCTTTATCTCTCTGTCTTTGTACCATGGACTCTAGACGTCGTTTCACATTTCTGGATTGCAGGTATATCAGGAACTCTTGGGCTTGGCTCAGGGTGGGTGGTTGTTGCTGATGATGATGGGGAATGGGTAGATTGTAGAGACACGCAAGAGCCAGGCGTAATTCTGGCAATAGCTGGGGCGGTGGAAGTTGATGGCTTGTCATGGTGGCACTATATTTAATTTTCTTCCACGAAGCAAAGCTCAAATTGGGAGACCACTGGTACTGTAGATTCAGCGCGTGGGAATCCAAGGTATCAACCAAAAAGATGAAGGCAAGGAGAGCAAAGCAGCCAGCAAAACGACTGGCCCCTAATTGGGAAACTTTGTTGACGATGGGGTATCCGACGCTGCTGCAAGATGCTTCTACGAACGTTTGGATAGCAGCCTGATGATGGATATTTGTAATAGATGGATGAGCACTTCGCTGATGTTTGTGGCGATGGAATGGAGAGGGTGCAATAAGCTGGTTGAGTTGTGTGATTATCATTCACGTTGCATGACCGGCACCTTACGTTACGGTGGTACCGGTACACCCGTACTACCCACCAACCTTCCTATGGGCCAACCTTTCTCCTTGGGGGTATCTTCTTGACCACCTCCAGTACCTTGGCCGCCTTGGAAGTTCGAAACGAAAACTGTATCTTTTACTTGGCAGCGGCCGCCAACGGCATTCACAATGGCATCTCCTCCCTGTACAGCCAAAACTTGATCCGGTCCACGGGTATCACAGGGACCACCACAGACATTGGCATCTTTACGGGCCAACTCCTGAGAGGGAACTGTGCCAACACTTGGAAGATTGGAGTATTGTTCAGTCTCTGGGCTTTGTTTTGGTGCGGTGGGCTTGTGTCGTTTTTTGCAACATCCTCCCTTTTGCATTTTTCTCTGCTCTTCAATGCTGGGCTGTTCCTGATAATTGGTGCCAGTGTCATTGTGTTCTTGACACACGAGATGAGTTTGTCTGTGACAGGTGCCTTATTGGGCAACTGCTGGGGTGCCCGCAGTGACACTAGTATTGAGAAGTGTGAGGAACCAACCTCTGCCGGAAGCAACGAAACTGGTGGTATGGATAACAACGAAGCCACTGGCAGTAGTACCACCAGCACCCAACCAAATATTATTCTACCACAAGAAACACCTGGACCCGGAGTTCTGGTTGAGTCAATGAAGGGGGCTGATGCTGAAAAAATGTTGGTGCACACAAACCATACGACTACCACAACATGTACCGGTATGGACAAGAGCGATCACTCAATGACAGACTTCCAATGTTGATCAAGGTTTTGGCATTTGTAGGGAGGAGTGGAACATCATTTTTCGATCGCTTCCGTTGCTTTGCCAGAGTCGAGTCCATTCGCGCATGATAAGATGCCAGCTTGAGGTAAATCATGCAGCACCGGCTATTTTATGATGTATTTGTCTTTCCATGCATAAAACTCCAGCGTAGCTTCAGTTTATTACACGACCTCTGCATCATGGTTAGCATATTATGAAGTAAAAAACACAAAGAAATGGTTCATCATTATTGTCGCTCTTTCTCGTTCTTCCTTGCCTGCTCGTTGTCAATTGCCGAGTGAGAGATGTCCTCACCTCTAACAATGATCCTTTCATTGCCTGGAGTTTTGGCTGCAATGGAGCAATACTCGTGATTGATTTCATTATCTCGCCCGTCGTCTCCTGGCTCTCAAATTCGAATTGTTGATGTTTATTTCCTTCACTTCTCCTTGTTCAAGCCGCAAGAGATTCTTTCCGTCACCACCAGTCTTGACAGTTCGAGTGACCATGCGAGCTAGTTCCCACATGCCTCCATCACGATCCAATCCACGGTCCATACCTCCTCCACCAACTGCGTCTGTCATGGCAGCCACTTCCTTCATTGTTGCTTCATCCATAAAGGGCATGTCATATCCCGTTTCTTGTTTGAACCATTCGTCCATCTTGTCGTGTTCATCGTCGGCCACATAGTCGGGCAATTCTTCCACAAGGCAAATGCCCCCAGTTTCGGGATCTTCAACCAAGGCCTCAAAGGCTTGACGAGCTTGAATGAATAATTCACGGGATTTCTCTTGTTCCTCTTCTGATTTGGCACTGGCCACATCAGGGTGATGCTGCATGGCCAATTTCAAAAATATTGTCTTGACTGCCGCATAGGGAGTCTCTCGACGCACTTTGAGTACCTTGAAGGGACTCACCTTGCGTCGTTTGTTCCGTCGTAAACTCCGATCGGACCCAAAGTGGCGGGTTTGATAATTATTATTCGAACTTATTGGGTTGGCAGGAGAAGACGAAGCAGTGATGGGTCCTCCTGTGGTGATCATCCCATTTGGTCTGCAACCATTTTGATGGTCCAACATTGTGGTCGCAGTTGGCAGGACGGGCCTGAACATTCCACTAGTTGAAAAGGACTTGCATGAGGCTGCTGAAGAAGCATGGCGCCGGAGCATAACCAAGACGTGACGATTCATACGAACGTTTGGTTAGCAGAATGATGGATGAATAGTTGTACCACCAACATATTTGCACTTCAGCGCTTCGCTCAGTTTGGCGATGGAGTGCGGGAGTGGGTACGTGTTGAGGGAGAGGTTGCAATAAGCTGGTTGAGTTGTGTGATTCCGGTTGCATTGACCAGCTCAGTGTACCGTATACGATACCTGAGCCACGGGTACCGTACCATACCGTACTGTAGCGTACCATGGTACCTGTGGCAAGCTAGATCTACCTAACCGACCAACCAAAAGATGACCGGGCACAGACAGGTCTCCTTTCCATCCAATTTACCAAGGCGGACATTTATTTTCTCTGCTCCTTTCTAGTAGAGCCAAATCCAGCCTTTCTTTGTGGAACTTCTTGAGGAGAGCCAAGCAACAGATGATAAAGGAGCTTCAAAGTGATGGTCAGCACAGTCGAAAAGTACCATTGACGAGACAGGCCAGCTATTATTGTGTCCTTTGTTCGAAGCAACAGCAAAGGTAAAATTGGGCGTCTTCTGGAAGACATGAGACGGATAAACCTTGCTGTTAGACTACGGTACGCGAACCAAACAAAGATGATTCTGCTGGGCTCTTCGTGAATCGTGAACAAACAAAAGATTCTGCGCGGTTCTTTGTCAACGTCACAATAAAGAGGAAGTTCCACTTTATATGTTATATTGGACCAAATCGAGCAGTAAAAGAGGATTGTTTGCTTGCCTTCCTGCTCTACAGCAATGCCAAGTTAAAAGAGCAGTTATAAGAGCTCATAAAAGATACCGGTAGGTTGGAGGATGCACCACAAACAGTGGAAGCACTTTTCTCAGGCAATCACTCGTTCGCTTCGGTATCCTGTTCATATTGTAGAACAATTTGTCGCATTGCCTCCGACAGTGGGCTCAGACCTTGCCCGGTTACGCCAGCACTAATGCTGTGCACATTGCCAAACACTTGGATGCCCATTTCGTCTGCAGCAGTGGCTAGATCCGCCATGACTTGTGCCTCCTTTTCTTCCTTGAGAAGATCCAGTTTATTGGCAACCACCAATGCCCTTCGAGTGAGCATATCACCATCCCCATATTGAGCCAGTTCATTGGCAAGTATTTTCAAATCCTCAATGGGATCTCGACCATCCGTCCCGGCGGCATCCACAATGTACAGCAACGCTTTGGTTCGCTCCAAATGCCTCAAAAACTCGTGTCCTTTTCCTTTGCCTTGGGATGCTCCATCAATCAAGCCAGGGATATCGGCTGCTTTGAGACGGAACCCATCTCGGTACTCGACAACGCCCACAAACGGATTCAATGTGGTAAACGGATACGGCGCCACTCGGGGTCCTGCCCGGCTCATGGCACAGAGCAGACTGGATTTTCCCGCATTGGGAAATCCGACCAATCCAATGTCGGCAATCAGCTTGAGCTCGAGTTCCAGCAACGCCACTTCTCCTTCTTCGGGTCTGGCGTTCTTTGTCAAAATCTTGCCATCCGGGAGTCCCCCATGAAGCGATGCAAAAATGCTCGACCCGGTTCCTCCTTTTCCACCTCGTGCCACGACCACATACGAGCCAGGTTGATCCAAGTCGGCCAGTGTCACTCTTTCCCGATCATCGTCCAAGTCTGTCTCTTGATCCTCATCATGATTATGGTCAAAATCGTCGGAAAAGTCTCGATTCAGAGCATCCCAGTCCGAAAAACCAATCATTTCGGGATCCAGGCCATGGGTAGTTTGCAGATATTCATCATCATCATCATCACTGTCATCATCATCACTACTAAATTCTGATGAAAAATCATAATCAGCTTCTGTATCCTCTCCAAATAATTTTTGCACTTGTCGTGTCTCTGGATTCCATGTTTCACTGTAAGCCAGAACTCGTTTCACCACCACACCACAGGGCACTCGGACGATGGTATTCTTTCCTTTTCGACCGTGTTTTTCTTGGCTTGAGCCGTTACTACCGGATGCGGCAGTCACGTGTGGATTGGACATGCGCAATGACTGCGTCTTGGGGTCGGCAAAAAGAATGACACTTCCTCCATCTCCGCCATGGCCCCCGTCGGGTCGGACTTTGCGTTTGCGGCCGATGCGAAGCAGCGACAGGGATCCTTTGCCGCCTTCTCCCCCTCTGGTTCTCATGCGGAGTTTGTCGACAAACCGATAACTTGGTTTGGCACTCGTACCAGCTCTCTTCTTTTTGTCTTTGTTTCGACCGTGTGATGATGGGCCACTCAAATCGAGAAAGAGACTACTACTACTACTCAAACATCGTCGTTGCGGTTGTGGAGACTTTAGCGGTCTAATCAGGTGTTGACATGCTGCTGCTGTGATTAGTCGATGGCTAAGAGTGCTCATGGTTGTGGTTGTGGTTGGGTTTGTGTTGGAGCCAAGCAAGTCGAACAGATCTTTGTCCGACAGAGACACCAGCCTCGATCTGTGATGTCGGCAACGACATGTCGCAAGCTGGCTGTTTCCGATGCCATGTCTCCTTTTCTCAAGTAAGATGTATGACGTCAGTCTCGTGCGGACGAAGATATTTGGTTCTCGGAATGCTTTTTTCGCGCTAATCCTCACAATTTCCAACCAACTTTGTTCTATTTTTGCCAACTACATTATTTCTTTTTCAACCAAAACTAATCCACAACCATGGTAGCTTCCTTTGAACCATGCCGCGTAAGTTTTCTTCAAGGCGCTATTAGGAAACATCTGCTAGCTAATCTCTTTCTGGGCTAATCTGTTTCCTCCTTATTCTTTTTCTCGGGGACAGACTAAAATGGAAAAAGAAGGCATTGCGTCTTCTGCCGTTTCCGCCTTTGAATCGACATTCAAAGCATTGGTCTCGGGAGACTCGGGGATGATTGCCGAGTCCACCATTTCTCCGGTTTATGATTTGGCCAAATCGGAAGAATTCACTGCCAAACCCGATACATCCCTTCTCGCCAAAACCGTCGTACTCAAGCTCAATGGCGGCCTGGGCACGGGCATGGGACTCGATAAAGCCAAATCGTTGCTCCAAGTCAAAGGCGAGGAATCCTTTTTGGATTTGACCGCCAAACAAGTCATTCAAATGCGCAAAGATTACGGCATGAAAGTCAAATTCATGCTCATGAATTCTTTCAGTACCAGTGCCGACACGCTCCAATTTTTTCAAACCAAATATCCCGATCTGGCAGCCGAAGACGGTCTGGAAATGATGCAAAACAAGGTCCCCAAATTGGATGCCACCACTTTTGAACCGGCGACTTGTCCGTCCAATCCCGACAATGAATGGTGTCCTCCGGGTCATGGAGATTTGTATGCGGCATTGGTGGGATCTGGCCGTCTCGATGCTCTTTTGAAGGATGGATTCCAGTACATGTTTGTGTCCAATTCCGATAACCTCGGTGCCAGTTTGGATTTGGATATTTTGACCTATTTTGCATCCAAAGATGCCCCGTTCGTGATGGAATGCTGTGAGCGAACCGAAAACGACAAGAAGGTATGTTCTACTAAAGGAAGCAAGCAAGCAAGAATAAATGGTTGTATATTCGCGCTTGCTTCTCTGGATACACCAGGATAGACTTTTGACCACTCAACTTTTTGTCGTCTCCATGTACAATTCTGCTTTTTCTATTAATCTATTCTACAGGGAGGTCACTTGTGCATGCGCAAAAAAGACAATCAACTCATTCTTCGAGAATCCGCCATGTGCCCCGACGAAGATGAAGCCTCCTTTCAGGATATTTCCAAACATCGATTCTTCAACACCAACAACCTGTGGGTTAGACTGGACAAACTAAAAGAAATCATTGACAAGAATGGGGGTTTCATCCCACTCCCCATGATCAAGAACAAAAAGACTGTGGATCCCAAGGATGATTCTTCCCAAAAGGTTGTGCAGTTGGAAACCGCCATGGGTGCCGCCATTGAATGTTTTGACGGAGCCACGGCGATTGTGGTGCCTCGCACACGATTTGCACCCGTCAAAAAGTGCAACGATCTCTTCCTGCTCCGTTCGGATGCCTACATTATGAAAAATCACAAGCCTGTGCTCAATCCATTGTGCAACGGTGTGGCTCCTGTTATCAGTCTCGACAGCAAAAAGTACAAAATGGTGGGGGCACTGGAGGATGCCACGGAAGATGGCATCCCGTCGTTGGTCAAGTGCAAGCGTTTGACGATCAAGGGGCTGGTCAAAATGTCTGGCAAGACCGCCTTTGTGGGGGATGTCTCCATTGTGAACAACAGCCCTGACGCCAAGTATGTCCCCTTTGGTATTATATCGGGTGAACATGACTTGACAAACAGCACCTTCCAGCCAGTGGATCCGTGCTTGAAATGTGTTATTTTGTAGACAGATTGGCCCGCTGTGTTGAAAGACTATCTTGGTGTTGTCATTGCTGCCTAATAGAAAAAGAAGTGTAGTAGTTATTGCATGTGCTATGAGATTGTCATCTCATTTTCCAAGTATAATGTATGTTGTTTTCTGATGGTTTCTGAAAGCTTCCAGGTTCTGTGTGGTTTGGTGCGTTTAGTGACATCCTTAATAATCTTGGTTGCTGATACTCGTAAATAGTATGATGATGTTTGCCTTGGAGGTGATACTAGCTAGAACGGGGAACAAGTTGCATTGTTGCTGATTTTGACCATGGAAAAGGGATAGCTTCTTGTTGTACTAGCGAAAGCTTGGACACCATTTTCAGTGAGGCCATATCCAACCAGAAGCAACAGGATTGGCATGATGAATTGGTCACATAGTGGCTTGAGCGTACCATGATGGTCAAATCCATTTGGATTCCCTGAACCAAGTCCTTGAGCTGTCTTTCCTCCCCTCCGTGTATGTACCGATGTACCGGTAACTCTGGATAGCTATAGCTTGGCATGTCTTCCTTTGACTTACGGGAGACTGACTCGACTCACTCCAAGAACGACGTGTTAACAGTGCAGCTGGATTATTAAGAGCAAGGCACCAGATGTTGGCGTTGGATTGAAGTTGTGGTGTAGCAGATAAATTGTCTTTCCAAACCGCTTTAATTTCCCATGAGTACCGGATCAAAATTGTCCTTATTCCCCAAATTCATTGCCGCTGGAGGCTCATTCATTCGACGACCTCTTATTCCATCAATCCATCCGAGAGATCAGAGCCAACACAAACTACTTAGTACATCCACCGCTCCACCAATACAAACTCTTAGCTCGACAAGGCAACGTTGACGACAACCACAGTAGTACCGGTAGATAGCTAGCTAGTTAGTGGGGTGGTATTTGTTCTGCGGAGTGAGGTTTGATGAATTCGGGTTAACTGTGAAATAAGTTCCCTCCCACTACAGTGTAGCTAGCTAGAGTAACGGCAACTGAAAGTAATCCACCCAGACGAGATCAAGAGGATGGTCAAGATCACAGCAATACCAAGGACTCGTCTCCTCTTGGTGTCCATATGGATCTCTGTTGTGGCGTGTCAGGAGATCACTGATTTCTACCCAATAGAAAGAACCCTGGAAGATACTACTACCTCCAACAATGATTCCACCACGATGAATGCTCATGCACATGCACCTCGGCAGCATCACCATCCTCATCACGGAAACTCCCTCCATGGCCATAATAATAATAATAATAGTCCAGCGAGAAACAGGAGATCCACCACAGTGATTCATGTGCTACCCCCATCGCCAGATGATACCCCTGAAGCATGTCCCGCAAATTCCACCTTTCATGCTTCTTGTGGAGCCGAGAGGTATTGTGCCTCCTTGCCGGGGACTCATCATGATAACCACCACCACGACGACAACCAGAATAATACCAATCACTCTCTGTGGTTCGAGTGGGACAATACTTTTCCCTACAACGCTGATGAAACCTACTACTATTGTCTGCACAAGACACTCTGGTTCCCAACCTTGTCGCCCCAAGATTTGCTCGCCTTTTTGCTGGCAGGAACGTGCTGCTTTTTGGCCGCCATGGCAGGAATCGGTGGAGGAGGCCTCATATTGCCCATTCTACTCTTGTGTTGCAACTTTACTCCCAAAGAAGCATCGGTACTGTCCAATACCGCCGTCTTTTGCAATACCCTGGGACAATTTGTCATCAACAATTGCTGCAACAACAACCGTAACAACAACAACAATCCGTCCATTCTCATTTTTGCCACGGTCTTGATGATTATGCCTCCTGTCATTGCTGGAGGGAGTGTCGCCATTAC